TATGTTATATTGTTTTTATATTTTGGCTTTGCATTATAGACGTAAATTTACATGGATTGTGTGTTCAATTTATTTATAGATATTTAGTTTTGAATAGGTAAATAAATAAAAAAATAATTAAAAACTTTAGTATAGTTATACCGCTCATCCTTTCGGTCTGGCGCACCTTCAGAGCGCCGTTTGGGGGTTTAGGGATTGAGTGGGGAGGCGCATAGAACCTATGTTTAATTTAATCAAAATATAGTTATTAAAACATTTATCTCATATTCAAAATACAGATTAAATGAGTTTATGGTTCAACATAAATATTACAGTAGAATACTGGAAAAATTGATATAATAGGGACTAGGGACATTGGAACTTTCTAGGACTGAACACATCTGAACTTAATCATTTGTTGTTCATCCTCTTGGTTAAATAGTCTAAACTTTTGCTAAACCCTTACTATTGTTTTAGAAATTAGCTTTTGTCGTTATCTTAGCTTTTGTCGTTATCTATTTATGTTGTCCATTGCTTTGTTTGTGGAATTACTGTATAGTTTGGATGTAATTTTCTTTTTACTTCCATATTCTAATGGAAGTATTAAATATTTTGATAATCTCAACAAAACATTGCCATTTATTCAATTTAAAATGGAAACGGTTAATTTTAAAATAAATTTATTTTTTGAATTTTAAAAAAGATGAATGCTTTGTCACTATTACTACCAGCTTTAATTGAAATATCTGGATATTTAATAATATTTATTTGTGGATTTAAAATGGTTAGATATGTCAATTTAAACACTAATCTTGATGGAAATTTAAAAAGATTGAATAAACTTTTAACAAAAGTTTTGATTATTTTGGTAAGAAAAATCTTTTTATTTTTTTTATTATGTATTTCCTCATCCTTGGACTTTTCTTTATTATTTACAAAAAAATAAGTTAACTTTTATTAGGGTGTAACATAAATAATTAGCCCCCCTTGTGCATTAAATAATTATTAAAATTTAACTAAACGATTTCAGACTTCGAATAATATTTTTCTATGATCCTAAGAGAGTTGCCTATTTTCTGGCAAAAAGTCAGAATTCTATGATTAGGTTGGCCGGAGTTAGAAGTTAAATACTAAAACTTGTATTTTTGAAACAAGGCAACTTCTTTTTGATTTTTTGATGAGTAAGAATGAAAATTTAAATAGATTCTAATAAATACAATTATATAAAAAAGCCACCCTGGAAACAGCTGGCTGTTTTTAGAGGGTCGCATTTGCGAAATGGGGTTTAGCATTATGCTGTTTTAGGATAACCCCGCACGAAAATGCCTAAATAGCGAGGCTAGGTGACCAAATTTTTTGATGGACTCGATCTATATGGGAACGATACTACCATTTAGATATATAATACTACCATCTAACCCGTCAACAATTTAGACACAGACATCGGTTAGCGGAATAATTAATCCTTATATTTACTCCTTATATCTTTTATATTGACAGACCCGACTCTGGGTAGGTACCTATGTCATCCCATTTTGATTAGGCCTGATTTATTAGTCCCTGATTGGGGACTAATAAATAACACCTCTGCCCTTTTCCTGACATTAAAATTTTTTATTTTAAACAGGTTGTTGTACCGTTTATTAACCAGGCTGGAATTTTATTTCTTACAATTTATTCAAAAACAAACAACAATACAACAAATATTATTCGAATATTTATTCTTGTTTCCGCTCATTTAATACCTTTATTTAACCCAATTATTTGTATTTTAACAAACACCCCATATCGAAATGCTGTTTTTAATCGTTCACAAATACATCCACAATAACTAAATAAAAAATATTCTTGTATTATTTTAATAAAAAAAATTTTTATAAAACACAAAAGGGCCTAAAATTTTGATTTTCAGTGACATTAATAAAAAATTTTTTGTTTTAAGAGGCTAAGAGGCCTAAAAATTCTTTCTTAGAGCAACAAGCGAAGAATTTGAGATCTGGAAGGGTAAATGTGGAGGATTAAGATATCGAGGTATTAAGGGGATATATGTGGATCTGTGGATTACGAGGATCTTCTAGTGATATCTCCATTCCTCCAAACATTCCCATATCCCCCTTATTCCCGCCAAATCCCTCATTATGCCCTTTAACCCCTCCAGATCCCCACGATTAAACTTTTAAAATAAAAGTAAAAAACAGTGTTGATCAGAAGTTTGTAGGGGTGGAATTGATCAAAATCTTCAAAGGGGGACTCGGCAGAATCACCTCAACAGTAATTATCTTGACGCTACTGAGGTTTTTGGGTTAAATTTAAAAAAACAAAAGATTCTCAAACATTTTCTTAAACATTTTTTATTCACATTTTATTGAATTTTTTAAAATTAATTGATTTTTATTTTCTCTAATTTTTACATTAAACAAAGCAAAAATTTTTTTTAAAAAAAATTGATTTGGGAATAGAGAGAGAGTAAGAAAATCAATGGAAAATGTATTTTTAAAATTTGAGGATTTTTAGAAAAATTTAGGTTATTGATTTTGATAAAACAACAACTACATAATCGACTGTTGGGCTGATAAAAAATAAAAAATATTGCTTCGGAAGGCCTTGAGGAAACAATCTTTTGTCTGTTCGGCCGAATTTACAAAATAATTTTTAGTTAAACCACATCTTTGGCTTTAAAAACATAAAATTTAAGAGTTTTGTAAAAGAAACATAAATACTAAACTATTTTTTGAATTTATTTTTTAATGTTTGTTTTACTCGAATAAATCTATAAAAAAAGAAATAAACGTGGCTATATTTTAAATAAATTTTAAAAATAAATTTCTTTTTTAAAAAATATACCTACACACCGTATTTGCTAAAATAATTACCCTGAGTAATTATTGTTTCACCCTCTCGCTGGTGGGGGTAATCAAAAGGGTGAGGTAATTATTTGAGCTTTTTTAAAACAGGCTAATTATAACTATTTTTAAGAGGGGTAATTATTTTTTCGATCTCTGGCTGTAGGGGTATTTAATAGGGTGGGGGTAATTATTTAAAATAGGGACATTATTTCAGTTTACGGTATTTTCAAAAAATAGATTTTTTTCAGTTGTTGCCGTTATAAAAATAATTGTTATACATAGTTTACCCAAAGATATTTTTTACGAGTTAAAAAAATTCCTAGCCTCAGTTAATTTTAGAGTTGCACCCCGACCCCGTACCCCGAACCCCGACCCCCGTTCCCGAAAGATTTTTCCAAAATTTCCCCGACCCGAACCCCGCCCCGAAAAAAATGAAAACCCCGTCCCCCGACCCGAAAAAGTTTCGGGGTTTTCGGGGTATACACCCCTAAAAACGCCATTTTTAAGGAGAGTTTAAAGAGAAAAATTTTAGAAACTTCCTCCCAATTTGCTTTGCCTTTATTATTTTTGTAAGAAAATTGAATGAAATATCAATATTGTATTTCCATATTAACTAGCCGACTTGTGGTTGAGTGGTTTAGTTGTTGGTTTTGTCTATATTTCTATTCATATAAGGTAGGGTTCGGATCCAAATAAGGAGAACCCGTTTATTTTGTTATTTTTCTTTACAAAAACAAGCGTTAAATTTTAATTTTAAAAGTTTAATTCTATTTTTAAATATTATCAACCATAAATTTTTAGTTTAGTCTAAAAATTCTAAAATTTTCGTCTGTGGCTCTAAAAAAGTAGATTCTATCCCTTGAACCACTCTTAATCCTTCGAAACCCTTATATCAGCAGATATGTCAGTTAATCTCTATGAATCTTCCATAATCCGCCCAAATTTATTTATTATCGCAGATAATTATCTCCCCAGATTAAAAACTAATAAGAGATCCGTAACAGGGGTGGCGCGAGTGCCATAAAATACGAGACACGAGATACGAGACGAGAGCCACCCCTGATCCGTAATACTTCAATATCCTTCTAAATCAATGATATCCCTTGAGACCAACAAAGATCACTCCAGATCCTCTTGCATCCCTAGATATACCATTTAATCCATAAAATCCCACTTAATCCCTTCAGATCCGCTTATATCCCCAAATATACTCTTTAATCCCTTCAAATCCAATTTAAAGTCTCAAAATCCTACTTTATTTTTGAAAAAATTAACGAAAATAGACCAAAACTAATTATTTTTTAACATTTTTTCTCTAAAAAATTTTTTTTACAAAAACCCCGTACCCCGACCCGAACCCCGACCATATTTTGGTCCCCCGACCCGTACCCCGCCCCGAAACAATTCGAAAACCCCGTACCCCGACATACCCGCCCCCGAGCGTTCGGGGTGCAACCCTAGTTAATTTATACAATTTAAAGATTAAGTTTAGAAAACTTTTATTTACGATTCTGGCTTCAATTTTGGATAAATTTTTCAATAAACGAGCAAAAAAACTTTTAAAAATCAATGAAAAAATTTTTCTCTAAACATAAACGTGTCAAAACTCGATAAATATTTTTTAAATGCCCTTCCCTCCTCTCTCTTTAAAAAATTTTTTTATTTAAAAAATTCCCTCCCTTCCCCCTCACCTGATTCCCCTCACCCCCCCCCCCCTCCTCTCCCCTCACCTCATCCCACCTCCCCTCACCTCATCCTCCCTCCCGCCCATTCGCCACATCCCCTCCCCATTTCCCCACATATATACACATGCCAGCTGCGCAAATTTGCCATTATTTAATTTTTTTATCAACTACTCCTCTTCATTTTATTAATTTTTAATTGCCCTTTCAATTGCCTTTAAATTTAAAAATAAATTAAGAAATCTTGAATTTTTACTGAGCGCCAAAATAATTTTATAGGGGAGAAAACTAAAATTTTAATTTCTTGTGAGTAGAAAAATTGTTACTGTATTCAATAACCATACAGCTACCCTTATTATAAAATATCCCTTGGGGCCGAAAAATTGTATTAAAAAAAGGTATCGTAAATAGAAGGTACCGCTTAGACAGCCCTATATTTAATAGGCCATATATTTCAAATTTGGGGTATCTAGTATTTTCTCCACTTTTTAGAATGTTTGGAAGAAGAATTTTAATTCTTCTCCATTTCTCAATTCTTCCGTTTTGCTTTGCGAGTGAAGTCAAACATTTGACAAAACATCTCTTCTCTGGTATTTTGAAAAATTTTTAAATAATTTTTTTTGAAAAAATCTTTCCCAAACAGATGAGGAAATTCAAGAAGATGTCAAAGCTGTAGATTTAGTAATTCAAGCGCCTTGGGTAGAACAAAACACTTTAGGTGTTCAAAGAATGGAAACTAAGAGAGAAAGTAATCGCCTTACTGATGCGCAGAAAGCTTTGTTCGATCGCCATTGGGAATTGGAAACTATACAGGCAAATGATTTTTTAGGGTCCATCCCTGAACAGATGCGGAAATTCAAGAAGACCCTTTAACGAGCCTACAAGCTTCTGACCAACACAATTCCTTACCTTTTATTTCTTTAAAAGTTTAATCGTGGGGATCTGGAGGGGTTAAAAATGATTGGACTAATTGAGAATGTGGAACAGGGTGACTCTTTCCAAATCACCAAAAGAGGGCATGGTTTCTTAAAAATGAGGCAAAGCGGTACGGAATAAAAATCTATTATTTTCAGTTAGAAAAGCCAGAAGCTCCCAAACAAGTTGATTTGGAATTGTTGGCCGAAGCTTTGGATATTGTTGTGGAAATGAATCCAAATGAGAAACAAGTTGTGATTAGAATGGATAAATTGAATGAATGGGCAACGGAAGAGAAGGATGCCAACAAAAACAAACAAGAAATGGATTTAAATCTGACAAAATCGGATGAGAAGGAAGCAAAGGTGGAAGATATGACGGTAAACAAAAATGTGTAGAATTATACAGTCAAATCTCGATAATACCGTGGTTACATTAAAACCGTCTTGCATTTTGCGACAAAAAATAGCATTTAAAAGAAGGAGAGACAAAATCGCGTCTCTTCATTCCCAATGCTATTTTTGCCGCAAAACGCAAGACGCTTTTTATGTAACCACGGCATAATATTGATGCCCCTTTAACCGGGTCTCTTGAAGCAACAAACTTTTTTCTTTTGTCTTTTGAATTTGTTATATCGACATTTGACTATTTAAATTTTAAATAGAGTAAAGGATTTGAGTTTAGAAGGAAGAATTTAAAGAGAGAAATGTGTTTAAAAATAATTTATTTAAATAAAAGTTTCAGAATACAAATGACATAATAAAAATCCGAAGCTCAATTTTCTGCAACACAAGTATCCGCGCCGCAAAGTTAAGCTAATCGAATTTAAATTGAAAATAAAATTCCAAAAGGGGAAAGATTAAAGAGTCTAAAGAGCTACGTTAACATTCCCCCCTACCCCCAACTTTTTGGTAAAGTTAAAAAATAGTAAATTAAAGTAACCAGGGATGGACGCTATTGCGTGAAATTGCGTGTTTTTTTGACTTGCGGATTGCGTTTGCGGATTTTAAAATTAAAATTGCTGCTGCGGAATTTTTTTCCAATTGCGCCCAGCCCGGATAGTAACCCTTTACTACCAGAAATGCCTTTAAATATTTCAAATATTCTTTTTCAGCTTTCACAACTTTTAAAATTGGACATGGCAGAAAACAAAGAAGAAGAAGAAAGTGATGAAGAAGAAAAAGAAGAGGAAAAACAGTGTTCAGAACAAGACAAACAAAAGTTTTTATTAAATAACTCAATCGAATCCCCAATTCAACAACAAAACAGAACCGAAACAATTTTTGAAAAGATTAATGGAATTTCTGGAAATTGGTGGCATTTTACAGAAAACAAACAACCAATGGAAGTTAAAACAGATGAAGATAAGGAAGATAAACCTTTTGTTATTTTTGGTGGAGAGAAAGAAAATGTTGGAGAAAAGGAAGAAAAAGAGAAAAAAGTGAGTGAATTTTATGTGATAGATTTTAAGGTCTCGGGCCCAGAAAAAATATTCTGGGTCAGTTATGAATTTTGTAGAATAATATAGTGAGGAATTCAAAAATCTTTAAATAAAAAAATTTTTTATTCTGCAAAATTTTAGGAAGAGCGATTACAAGAGTCCAATGAAAATGAAGTTTTTGCCCAAATTCAAAAAGGGAAAGAGCTTAGAGCTGAAAGACCTTCAGAAATGGTTGTTGTTGATATGAATTCGGATGAAGATGATTCTGATGTTGAGAGTAGTGAAGAGGGTAAAATTGAGGATAAAAAGGAAGCAGAGATTGAAGAAAAAGAAGAGCCAATGATGGAAATTGTTGAGGTAAGTAAAGTGTATTTTTAGTGAAATCTTTATAACAACTTGGATATTATGTAGTTTTTATGGCTTTACAAAAAGTGGAATCTGACATAGAGACTAGAGATCGAGATTTTTGAAAAGCCTGTGTTATGTATCGACTTGCGGTGTGTCCGATACTAACAGAAAGACTAACTAACAAGCTCACTAACAAGGTTTATCACAAAGGTAACAATACAATAGGAAATAGGCGAGACTATGCGCTGGAGTAGAATGTAGCTTGACTACGGACTAAGACTGACTATAGACTGACTCAAGACTCACACAAGACTAACACTAGACTAACACTAGACTAACACACCCACTACTAAAAGGCTGCGCCTTTTATACTAAGCCGCCACCCTAACACCTCCCTTCTTTAATTAAGTCGGGACTATGTACCGACTTTTTCGACTAGACTTGGTGGACTTCAAAATACTACTACACTCCAACACAAAAAAAATCAAAAAATACAAAGGGCCAAAATACAAAGTGAGCAATAAAAGGGAGATACAATAATTACAAACAAAAATTTACAAAAACAATATTATCACAATTATTTACACCTACTTACATCTCCCATCTATTTCTATCGTCGCTCGTCACAGGGCTCCCTTGTATTGGCTCAACTTTTGGCTTCGTCGCGTTCGGTGTTGCCGTCGTTGCTGGTGCTTCTTTCAAATTGGAACTAGACTCCAATTGACTGCGAGGTTGACCATGTGTCGAACCTTGATTACGGCTTTCATCTGACTTCATTGACTTTGGCCTAATTTGCCATTCTTCGCGACTGACTATGGCTCTCAGCCTTGGGACTTTGACTTTATATCCTTCCACGAATTTCCTCACAATAGTCCCAGGCAACCAAACTTTCTTGCCATTCTTGCTCCTGTTCATGACTAAGACTTCTTCATCTTCTTTGAATCGACTAGAATTTCCCGATGACTTCTTCTCTAAGAATCTTGACTTCGTCGAGCCTTGAGTAACACGACTACTCTTCGGACTATTCGACTTTTTACTCTTTCGATTGTTATCCCGACTAATCTTTCTACTATTCTCGTTCAACTTCGGGACTTCTATCGTCAGAATATGTGGGACTGAAGAATCGACTTCTACTTGATTTGCTTCTGGACTATCGACTCGCTTAAACCTTTTCTTTGGTTTCCTACAATCTCGACTAATGTGTCCGACTATTCCACAATTATAACACTGACGTGATTCAACTTGGCGTTCTTTTTGCCTTGACTTAATTCTTGATCGCTTCGACTTTCTGCTCTGACTATGTTCGATCCGACTAACATTATTGACTTCAACAAACTCTTTATGTCCACTCTTGATCTTTAACTGACTATCGAACATTTTCGCCTCTGACTTATTTGCCAAATAACTTCTCACTTCCTCCATCAATGCCTTCAACGTGCAGACTTCCGACTTCGCATACTTCTCTACAAATGTCAGACTTATCTGCCTTACATCCAGCGCCTTTTCTGGAATGCCAGCTATGAAGACTAGAATTTTGCATTCCTCGACTGTCAAGTCCATGTTCGCTTTCTCGCATTCTGCATTGACTAGAGTTCCGAAATCTAGAATTTTCTCTACTGATGGGCATCTCATCTTCATGACTTCGAATCTTTTGACTATTTTCGATCTTGGGTCACTGAACTCCTTTTTCAGTACCTCGACTAGACTTTCGAAGTTCATCTCTTCTAACTTTTCCGGCAACATCTTCTGCGACATTTTCGCATACTCGCCTCGGCCCAACTTTTCGACTAACAATCTGACTCTGACTTCCTCTGCTAAGGACTGCGCGTCTACCTCAAAGTAGGACTTGTTCTTAGCGTACCATGACTCAAATGTGACTCCCTTTTCAATATCTGACTGGAACTCTGGAATCAACGACTTCAACTTACAATACAGTTCCGTCGACTTTTCCTCTTCAGACTTGGTTACAACTGACTTTTTCCCTTTCATCATTTCATCCCATTGACTTTGCATTTGCAGTTGTGTCTGCAGCAATTTATCAAGCATATCATTCATTTCGACTGAATTATTTGACTAATCAAACTGACTTTTGACTATGGGTCTGCCTGTTCGATTTTTTGACTACTCGATTAAGAGTTTAACTGTGCGACCGCGCCACTGTTATGTATCGACTTGCGGTGTGTCCGATACTAACAGAAAGACTAACTAACAAGCTCACTAACAAGGTTTATCACAAAGGTAACAATACAATAGGAAATAGGCGAGACTATGCGCTGGAGTAGAATGTAGCTTGACTACGGACTAAGACTGACTATAGACTGACTCAAGACTCACACAAGACTAACACTAGACTAACACTAGACTAACACACCCACTACTAAAAGGCTGCGCCTTTTATACTAAGCCGCCACCCTAACAGCCTGGACCTGTTCCTGGACTCTGGGTTTGATTTCTTGAACTGGACTGGATCCTGGGCCTGTAGTCCAGGAAAACCCCAGGAAGGTAAAAAAATGCCTGGACCTGGACTCTGGGTACAGGAAAACCCCCAGGTGATCTAATAATCCACCTCCCCTTCCAGATATTCCTATTCGAAATATCTGAAAGGGGAGGAGGGGTTTATAAGATAAATTCTAACTGTTTAATCAGATTGTTGATCTGAACAAAGAGAACGATGATGAGGGTAATGATGAGGATGACGACGACGAAGACGATAATTCTTCAACATCATCGGAAGAAAAAATTAAGGAAGAAAAAAGTACTGGAATATTTAATGTTTTAACTAATTTGTTATTTGGCGGTGGTCGTTTTAAAAGAGAGGCTTTTCCTTTCCCAGCAATTCCAAATTCAACAAAAATTGTTGAGGAATCTGACGTAAATTCTGGAGATAATATTGAAAAGATAAAAATAATTAAAAGCTTTTCTGGACGTGTAAAAATGGGAGACAAAAATGTTGAATTTTCTGGTTCAAAATTGGAAATTACTAAAGATTTGGGCACAGAAGAAGAGAAGAATGAAGAAGAAAAGAATGAGGAAGAAAAAAGAGAAGAGTTTTTAAAAGAAATTTTTGGTAAGAATTAGTAAGATTTAGGCAAAAAGGAGAGAAATTAATTAAAGTAAATATTCTTTTACGGCAAAAATACCGTAAAATATTTTTAGAATAGGGTTGACAAAAAAAAGACCGATACTTATTCCCTCCCCCCATTCCGCGTTTTAGTGAATGTACGAAATGGTCAGTACATCAATTTTAGATACCCTCAAAATTAAAGATACTCTTCAATTTAAAATACTTTTTAAAAAATGGTCTCTGGGTGAGGTAGCTGCCCAAGCGACCCTTTTTATTTAAGATAACTTATTATAAGGTATAATTTTTCAATCACGTTGTATTAAATTTTAAAGGATATTACCAAATTAAAAAAAAGACTGTTCGAATTAACAATGGTCCTTGTAAACTTCTCCAGCCTCCTTACTTTTTAGGTCTAAAATCACAAGTTTACCCCTAAATAATCCCCCCCCCCCTCTCCTCATACTTCATTATCTAACAATAAATAATCATCCAGATAATGACAAAAAGATTGAAGACTTAAAAGAAGAAGAAGACAAGGTTGTTGAAAAAATGGAAGAATTAACTTCTGAGGAAAAGAAAATGGAAGAGGAAGACGAAAAAACAAAAAATGTGGGTGAAAAAGAAAATATTAAATTAACTGAAAAAGCTAAAATAGCCAAATATCTAACAGAAATGTTAACAAAAACATCTGAGGACCGTCCAAAACGAGATGAGAAAATTGCTTATGTTTGGTATTGTGAATTGCAATATTGGGTAGCAAAGTTTGTTGAAAAAGAATTTTCGTTGAAAGACAACAAAAATGAAAGTGGAAATGTTGGGAAAATACTTGATGAAATGGATGTTATTGTTGAGGAATTGGAATATATTCGTTCGATTTGGGGAAAAATTTTGGGAAAATTAGCTGAATTGACTGACTTTATTGGAAAGGAGTTTAAACGACGAAAGTAAAGAAAAAATGAAGAGATGAGTGAAGAAAACGAGAAAAGAAGAAATGTGAAGAGAAGAGAAGAGAGATGAATTCTGAACTTTTTATGCCCCTTTTAACTTTTCTCTCACAATTTCCCCTTTTTATCATTTAAATCAATCACAAAGGTTTAGGTTTGTGAATTTAAAAATCCAAGGCTGAAAATTTTCCAAAACACGAGACAAAGACTAACAAGAAAGCTTAAGACACCCAAAAATTTTGTTATTTACCGCGATTAATCCTTTTTGATTGGTGTTAGAGGTAGAAAGGGAAATCTTTGGAGAGAAAGGAGAAATTGGAGCCATAAATAAGGTTGGCGGTTCCGGATGACCACGATCTCCCAGTAACCGCCAACCTTATTTATAAAGTTCATGACATGCTGTCGAGATTATTTTTTAAAATCTTTTTTTTTTATTCGACATTCCATTTTTTTTATTCTTTTTCGGTTTGTACATACACCCCCCCCCCGCCCATACACAAATTAGCAGTTAGAAACACCAGCACAAACATGTAAAATCAAGTAATTTTAAAAACATACATTTCATCCCATTTTTGGGATGAAATGTCATTTAAGCTACATATAGAGGAATGAGAAAACGGAACACAAAAATTACTTGATTACGTAAATTTGTACATATATTTTTTGTTTGTTGCTTTCCACATTTATTTAAGTCAATCCCCTCCAAAAAACTTTTTTTATTATTTATTATTTTTTCTAAAAGCGTAAAAATTGTCTACAAAAATTTTTAAAAATTATTTTTAAGTATTTGCTAAAAGGATATAAAATCTTTTTTATATTTTAATGGCCAGGAGGTAGTCCCATTCCTCCCATACCTGGGTGATGTTGTTGTTGGGCTGCTTGTTGATCTGAAAAAGAAAATTAAAGTAAGAATTAAACAATTTAAAAATATTTAAATTTATTTAAAGAGAGATAGAGGACTTTGATTCTTTTTGAAAAAAATTAAATAAGCACGAAGGTGCCAAATATACAAAAAATATGCCCTAAAAATAAGCTTTTCGGTTTTCTTATTTTAAGGCATATCCGCCGTTTAGGAACCGACATTTGGGGATGTTGGAGATAACTTTTTCTAAAATGGATGTAAAAGGATATTTTTAATTTAATCCAAAAATAAGCTTCAGAATAGGCTCATTTTAAAACAAATTTTTGAAGTTTTTTTATAATTTTTCCAGCCAAATTCATACAAAGTACGAATTTTGTTCACATTTTGTATCATTTAAAGGGCAATTATAGCTTGTTTTTACAAAAGTAAATCCCCTTGTATATCCTTTTATCATGACTTTATACTCAATTTAATAGCAATTATCCTCAAAAAATAAAAAGATATTCCCAAATAAAAAGAAATATAGAAAAGAAATATCTAGAAATCACTATCATTTAACATTAAAATTAAAAATCCCAAAGAAGGAAAAGGAATAAAATAATTTTTCTCCCCCAAAAATACTCTTCATCCTCTCTCTTTTTTCTCTCATAAATTTAAGAAAACTCTTTTTTTCTCTTTTTTAAATTCACTTTGTTTTCTTTGCAGTAAAGTTTGACGTATTTGTTTTTTAGTATCAGTTGTAGGTTGTGGTTGTGATTGTAGATTAACCTGCTGCTGTTGCTGTATTCCTCCTCCAATTCCACTTATTCCAGGAATTTGTTGTTGTTGACTAAATTGTTGTTGATTATTTCTATTTTGTTGGGAAATTGGTGAATGATATTGGGGTGGTGGAGGTTGGGGCTGTTGTTGAGGAGGAGGAGGAAGTTGCATTCGAAATTGAGGAGGTGGTTGTTGCATTGTTTGTTGTTGATTATTATAAATCATATATGGGGGTGGTAAAGGTCCAGACCTTGAAATAAAAATTTTTGTTTGTTTGAAAAATAAATAGAATAGTGAATTAAAAAATATTTTTTAATTTTCCCCCAAAATCCCCAAAATAATAATTCGTCTCCATAATCATATGTCACTTTTATATTTGATTTTTCGAGGGTTTCCTTCAAGGTCCCCCAGCATATAATTAAATAGGGCTCCGATTTTACTATTGATTTTTAAATATAGGCAAAAATCCTAACATTTGAGGCTGGCCAATATTTCCTTGTTGTGGTGGTGGTTGCATTTGTTGTTGCTGTCTTTGTTGCATTTGTTGTTGCCAATGAATTTGTTGTTGTTGTTGAGCCATTATTGCTGCATGTGTAGACATACTCATTTGTGTAGGTTGACCCATACCTCCTCTTTGTGTAACCATTCCTGGCGATGGACCAGCTCCACCAGTTGCTGCAAACATATCCATTCCCATACCCCCCATCATTTGATTGGCCATTTGTTGTTTTTCTTTCTTTTTCTTTTGGCCTCTTAAAAAATTTTCAAATAAAAAAATGGGAGCACCAAAAGTCAATTTACCTTCCGACGCCTGACGGATTTGTTCCAACCATTTTACGTCTACCCCTTCCGCCTCCTGTTCTAGGGGAATCTGTCACGTTTGTTGGAGTATTTGAACCAGAACTACGAACACCTTGTGATTGTTGTAGTAAATTTAAAATAGGTTGTTGTGGAGGGAATGGGTTTTGTTGAAGGCCAGAAGGACCAGGCTCTCCCATTATTGCACCAGGTGGAATTGAACCCGTCATTGACATCATATGTTGGTGTTGAAACATTTGTTGTTGTTGTTGCTTTTGGTGTTGATGGAATTGGTGTTGTTGAGATGGAGTTGGTTGCATCATTCCTTTAATTTGAGAAAGTTAAGAATGGGAGAAAAGAGAATTTTTTAAAAGATTTTCTAAATTTTATTTGAGTCACTTTCCAGCTATTTTATCTCGAACTTTATCAGAAAAACATCTATTAACTGATTTTTAAATTCCCAAACCTCGTCGATTGTGGTATCATTTGACTTAACACAATAGGATATGTTGAATCATACCGAACTTAATTATCGATAATAATTATTTAACAAAGTTATATCGATAAAGTTGTCTCGAGTTTAATTAATCTACACTCCTATATTGTAATTTTCTTTCTACTATAGAAAAAAGCCTAAATATGTAAATATCCTTTTATACAAAATTACCAGGATGTATTTGCACATTCTGTTGTTGGGCAATCATTCTTTGTTCCATTTTTATTTGTTGTTGTTGCTGATTCTGATATGATGCCAAACGCATCTGTTGTAATTGTTGTTGTTGTTGATCAGATTCCATCTAAAATTAAGAAAAAAATTTAATAAAAAATATCTCAAAAGATTTAGTACTTTAAATTGTTGTTCAGTTGTTGGTGGCTGTTGCTGTGTTGGAATTATTCTTTGTTGTTGCGGGGGCTGTTGTGGTTGTTGGACTGCCATTATATTTTGTTGATAAGATTGTTGTTGTTGCTTTAAAGAAAAATATTTTCAAATTAAAAATTTCATTTATATTTTTATTACTTGTTCCTCTTGTCGCTCATTTGGAGGTTTACAAATATAAACTTGTTCCATTTCTGGGGGTGCCAAAAATGGATCAGCACCCATTCTTTCTTCTCCAACAATTCCAGGACGAGGAATGAAGGAAATAATTTGTTCTCCATTTGGACCAATTTGTCGTTGCATCCAATGCTCGTGTTTAAGCATTCGCAAAATCTTTAAAAAATTCTTTTACTTGTATTTAAAGAAATGTCTATGACAAAAAATTTCCAAAAAATTTATTATGGACCTTTTTATGAATGGGAACTTGTTGTTTATCAATCACAATTCCTTGGAATTGAGGCTTTGCAACAGGAAGATTTGGCTGTGTTTGTTGTTGACTAGGTTGGGATGTATTTGTACTTCCTTTAGTTGTTGTTGCTGTTCCTTGTGCAATAAGTTTATTATGTGGAATTGAATTGGAAAAACTATCCCAAGCTGTTAATTCTGCTTGAGACTTCGGTACAGGTAAAAGTTGTTGTAAAGAGTAAAGCTCATCGGGAATACGAAAATTCTATAAAAAATGGAAAGATTATTAGAATATTGTCAATTGGAAAAGAAAAATTGATGTCTAGATAAGGGTGCGTAGTTACTGGTAGACTTAGCCACGAACATGAACTTAGGTAATCGGAAAGCCAAACTCGCATCCATTTACTATATTCGTCCGATCTCTAAGTCACTCCACCTGTATCCGCGGACATTATCTGTATCCGTTTAGTTTTTTGAATCATTTCCACAGATTTCTCTAATTATTCCCATATTTTCTCAGATTTTTCTTAATTTTTCCAATTCCCTAGGAAAAACTTCACAAAATGAACGTAAAGTTTTCAGTTCATTGGAAAAGGTTTAAGGAAGAAGTTATCGTCCTGTCTTTATTCATAATAAAAATTAAAGTAAAAATTACCTTAAATTTGCTAACAAAAGTGCTATATGTTTTATGTGGATACATTTTATGTACAAGCATTAAAAGCATATCCATACAAGTATTAAAATATAAAGTATCACGTTCACACCTGAAAGAAAAATATTTATAAACAAAATAATAAGATTTTTCTTTACGTTAATATTTCAAAATAAAGAAGTTGGAAAATTGCAGACGCCCAAAATTCTGCATTGCTATTTGTTGTTAAAGTATCAAAAAGTCCAACGATTAAATTTAGGCGTAAAATGATTCCATCACGTTCAGAGAGAAAGAAACTTTGGTGTGGGATTATTGGATTCTGAAAATAATTTTTCGGAAAAAATTTTTTGGGTTACATGGAGAGAAGGTGGAGGAGATGTAAATTAAATATACCATATTGTCTCTAATACAAACCCTGGGCGTCTATATTTCAATACCCCCTCATTGACTGGGCTTCTAATAGGGCATGGGGTTCTATTGAAGATGGGCTTCTATTAGAGACAATACGGTAACTCATTATTACTTTTCTAACTCGAGCAACAACATCATCCAAATAATCCAAAAGAGTATCAACTAATTGTTTAACATCCTCTCCTTCTGTACAAGCCATTACCTTAAAAAATATTTTTACAAAAAACTTTCAATTTTTCCTCACCAAATTAAGGAAAGGTTGATAAGCAAGTAATTGTTCATATTTTAATTGTTCAATATTTTCTGATTGTTCTAAAAAAAAATAATTTTTGTAAAAATTTAATAACAAAAACTATTTTTTGAATCCTTTTCAGGCAAAGTTTTCAAATTTTCTGCCACCACTTTTAAAATGTATGCTTTCATTGCTGAACCAATCCATGGACACCAATGGGGATTTTGTGAGCTCATCCCTGTTGGAGGTGGTGGGCTTGGCATAGCAGTGACTAAAGAAGCTATTTGCCAAAAACAATTAATTCCTGAGGGGCGAAAGTCGTCTATATCCATCTAAAAAATTTTTTAATTAATGTCCAAAATAACTCAATAAGTTTTTCAATTTTAGGACCCTGTGACACACCTTTTCCTCATTTTGTTTATTATCCTTTAAAATCAATCTTGAAACAAAAAGTTGATGAATAGCAGTAGCTATATTGTTAAACAAAAACATTGTCATTTGATAATGATTAGCTAATTGTTGATTTCCATTGCCTAATTTGGACATTTGACTTTCCGGGAAAGTCTAAAATAAGAAATTATTTTTAAATTAAAAAACAATTTTAGACTTCATTAATTATTAATTTAAAATCAAAATAAGTAGCTCTCATATTCCATATAGAAAGTGCAGAAAGTAATTTTTCGTAAATTGTTTTGTCTGTACATTCCATTAATTCTTGCTTTATATCTCTTTCACTAAAAAATAAATCATTAAAAAAATTGAAAAGCAGGTAGATTAGTCAAAACTCGTATTTAAATATCCTAAGATTAGGTACTTTTTAACATATGATGGATTTTTTGAATTTTGGTTGACTACTGGCCTAAGGGATTTTATAGTGAGGTTCAATTGTATTAATCATATCACCTTTTCCTTCTAAGAGCAACCCTTAAAAGCTGTTGACCAACAGAATGATTTTTAAGTCGAGGACAATTAATAAAATTATCCATATCTTTATCAGAAGAGCAAATAGCATGCATTCTCTCTATTACCCAATCTTGATCACAAATACTTAAAAGTGCACAACGGGCAATTGCTAGTTGTTTAGAAAACTTTCGATGATTTGTCTAAAATAAAAGAAAAATTTTAAAATCGAATACCAATTCTGTTAGACTCCAGTAACTTTGAGTAATGATTTGAAAACTCGATAACGTCGAGCATTTATATAAAGAGTATTGAATCAAAAAAATCTGGGAGAGGTCTCTTTAAGGTAACTGGGAGTCACTCCCTTCTACCATCCTTTTTCGTAATATTTCTGAGGGTCTGGAATTCAAAATTTTGGAAATTTAGAATTCAGGATTTATTTAAAATCTCCCAAAATTACCCAATACAATCAGTTACTTTATTAAAAAAAACTCCAAAAGCCCCCTCGTTTCCTTACCGCATCTTTTCTGCTGGCTTCAACTTTTCTTTTTAGTTCATCCACTAATTGCATTACAACAGAAAGTAGGGGGAACAAAACAAAATTTAATTCAGTAATATGAGCAATTTTTAACGCCACTTGATTACAATCTCTTCGAAGTGTAGATGAAGTAATAACACGTTGTCCAAGATCATTGCCTGTTTTGTAAAAATTAAAAAAAATGTGTCTTTTTACAAAAACAAACAAATAAAAGGCATATCATCTCCACAAAAAAGAACAGAACAAATACACAAAGCCAAACAAAATCCATTATCCAAATCATCATTAGCAAATCCCCCTTCTTCTCTTATAATAGAATAGAATACATTAGCAATAAGCCTGCATATAAGAGCGTGAGGTGAAAAAACATATTTAGAGGCTAATAGAAGAACAAAAGTTGCTAATGAATAATGAGTGGAAAAGTCATTTACCTGAAAATTTTAATAAATTTATAAAAAAAAGAAAATTAGGCTCTAGTTTAGTCTATGAACACCATGAAAATTTGTGAGTTCTGAAAAAATCTCTAAAGAATTCCCTTTCCCCTCCAAAAAATAAAACAAAATTTTCTCTAACATTAATCTCAAAAAGCATTTCATTCCAATTACTATTATTTGACACATTTGAACAACAAAGTTCTTGAATAGCACTACACCATTCAGTTTCAAGCCCTAATTGAGTTGATACATGCCCACAAAAATTTGCTAATTCAACCAAACGTTCATAATCTCGTCCGTAAGAATTAGCAGCGCGAAAGGCGTTAACAACAAAACTAAAAAAGTAAAATTTATTAAATTAATTTTACTCTTTACCCAAAGGCGTAGCCAGGGGCGCAACCCCATTTTAGCCCTCCAGAAATCGACCAACTGGCTACCCCTTGTCTTTATGAAAGAGAATCTGTGTCTCCTCAATTTCGAAAATCGAATTCCGAGGTTCCAGTTCCCAGCGATTACCCATTATGACAGTTCAATTGAATAGAACCGACTTCAAAGATTCGTACTAAAATTCGCAGCTTTGTTGGAAAATTCAAACAAACCTATATTTTGCATGTTCATTTTGCATTGTTTGGAGACGCATTTTTAAATCCACATATGATAAGAATCGACTGGAAAAAATAATTCAAAATTAATTTTTAATAAAAAATTCACAAATTATTTGAAGAAGATAAATTAAGTTGCTCAACCATTAATTGTTGATCATATTTTAAATTTTTTGCTAAAGAACCAGAACCAGCCGAAGGAAAAAGTGCAGTCAAATCTTCATATTTTCCAAGTAAATTTATTTTTGTTATTTTTCCTTCTTCTTCTCCAACTCCAATTAATTTATTTCTTGTATGTAATAAAAATATTGCTATAGTTCTAGACCAACAAGTAATGGGGAAATTTTGACGTAATAAATCCAAATCATTTTGGATTAATTTAAATAAACTATTGTAAATTGAACAAGCTTCCGGAGAGTATAGAAAGTAATAAAAATGTTCAGCCAAACGAACAACAATTACATAAGCAAGCTAAAAAATTATTTTAATAGGTGAATTAGGTAAAAATTAGAGTTGGGGCCCAGTTCGGTTCGATTCGAGATCGACCGGGCCTCGAATTTTGGTTCGAAAAAGACTCGAACGGCCCGATTCGATAAAAATGAAGCCCGAAAAAAATGACTCGAATGCGGCCCGGTTCGATAACGGCAACCCTAATAAAAATTAAAGAAATATGTATAAAAGGGAGAGAGAAAACGGCTTGGAATCAAACTGAAAAACCGATGTTCTTCGGTCCAGTCTTCAATTAGGTTTCAAATACCCGAAGATTTTCTTAAAGATGATAAACCTAATCATAACAAAAAATAAGGTTGTGGGTAAAAATATTTTTGAGCGCCCTCAAAACAATAAATTTTTACAAGTCTTGGTAAAGACAATTTTTTGCAAAACTTTAGTAAAATTAAAACAATTTAAATTACCTGACAAGTAAGAGAATTTGGAATTGTATCGATAATAATTTTTTGATTAGATCGCTGAAATTCTTGTTCAATTTGAATAAGAAAAGGTAAAAGTTCGGCAGAAAGACTCAATAAACTATGTGGATTTTTACAAATCTAAAAAAATAAATTAAAAATTAGAGTTAGCTTCGAAAAATTAAAAAAAAAATAATTTAGAATAAAATTAAAAATTCCCTTCAAACCGAAACAGGAAAGGAACATTGTCACAGAAATTTATTTTAGAAAAATTAAACAAACCATAATCATTTCACAAAGAAGATCCAAACATTCAGAAGTTGGAAACGGAGATAAAACCGTTTGTTGTTCAGTCAGTTGACGTAGAAATTCTTCAATAGAATCAACAAAATTTTCTGTACACCACCCACAAATTATTAATTGATCAAAATATGTTTGGGATTTAAATTTATCCATTTGTTCAGAAATTTGTTCGTTGGTACATTTCCTTTTATAACGAAGTTCTCTAGTTGGGGAATCTGGAGAGGTTTGGACAAATTCAACGCTTAAACGCTTCTTTAAAAAAATAAATTTAAATAAAAAATTTTTTAAATTAAAATACCCATAATTTACATATTTCTCTAGCAATTTTCCGTAAATCTTGTCTAACTTGATCCCTTTGATCAGAAATTCCATATAAAACAATTGCTCTCTGATTACAAGCATCTCTATTTGATTCTAATTGTTCGACAGGTAAATGAAGAAGGAAACGTTCATGAAAACTAAAATAAATAAAATTAAGAATTAGTAATTCAACTTTAAAACAATCCCAGACAACAAGACATTTTTTTAAAAGATATTCAAAATTTTGAAAGATGATACCTTAACTAGGTGATAGAGGTTTTGATATCTTATTAAATTCGAAATATTAGTGTAAATACAAAAAAAATATTAAAAAGAATAATTCTGTAAGACTATTAGAGCCGAAGAAGGTCATTTAACAAAAATGGAAAAAAAAACTATTTCATCACTTAAACTACAAAAAATAAACACCTTAATTTTGATTTTATATCCAAATGAGGATGAACATCAGGTTCGTATTCTTGTTGAAGTTTCGCAAATTCATCAGATTTTTGTTGATTCTGTTGAGGGGTAGAACCACTAAATGGATTAGTATTGACAGTTGTTGACACAGATGGAGTTGTTGGAATAAATGAAATAATCATTTGTGGTTCCTTAAAAATAATTAAATTTAAAATAATTTTCATAAAAAACCTGCTTAACAGGAACCAAATCGACAGATTGCCGTTTTGAAGAATTTTGTTGTTCAACACGTTCAGGTTGATTTTCGGAAGTTTCGTTCGCCTTCAGACGTTGGTATAACGGCGATTGGCCCAATGTCCCATTTCTCATTAAAGCACGAACATATCTATCGTGATCGAAAATCCCAACACGTTGTAATTCGTAAAATAACAACATTAAATTTCCAAATTCCACATTCCAACGCCCATCATTTCCTTCTTCAGTTTTGTTTTTATTTCGTTCATTACATGCCCAATCTCGATTTAAACAATCAACCAATAATGAATGAATTGATTTGAGTGAACCAACTTTATTTTCAGATTTGGAAATAAGCAAAAGTAATTTTGTGACAAGTAAGGAACGATAAGTTCCTGATCTTTCAGCAGTAACAGCCCACAGAACAAGAATTCTTACACGAATATTGACTCCAACGGACTCATTTAAATCCTATAATTAAAATAATAATGAAAAATATGATCAAATTATTATAGGCCAGATGTTTGCGATTAACGAACTGACTGGTCATAAAAAGAGATGTCAACATCAGTGTTAATCTGATCGTTAGAATAAAAGAAGACCGAATAGGTTTTCCCTTCTCCCTCTTTCGGGGAGGGCTCCAGCCGATTTAAACACAACATTAATATTCCAAATTGGGAACCTATTCCAACTTGGGAATTTGAACGGCCCCCCCTAGCCCCCTTGGGTACGCCCTTGGTATATATTCAGATTTTCCACATCAAAAATTAAATATGTAAAATTAACCTCATCTTTAGGAAAAATATTATCATAAAGTATATGAAGAGCATTAGGTTTATCCAACGAAATCGTATCCAAAAATGATATAATATTTAAACATTCCTCGATTATGACATCTAAATGATTCATCAATTTTTATTTAAAAAGTTTAAAGAACCTATTCCAAATTGTGAATTTGAAGGGCTAATAAAAGCCCAACGGTCTTCCACAGCTAAACTCCTCATTTTAATTTCATCTACTTTTTTATTCAGCAAATCCAATATTTTATCTTTGAATGATCCAGAAAAGTGTTGACAAGTGACTTCAATTTTACAAGGGAGATAATCGAGTGGAGAACCACAAAGCTGAAAAAATATTAAAATTTGAACTAAAAATAAAAAAATAATTACCCAAACAACACTTTGCAAAGCATTTTCTTTTTCAACTGCACGAGAAAGTTTAGAACTTTTAAGACTTCCTTCCAATAATTCTTGAGGCTCGAATGGTGTCCAAATTAAAGCAGAAGGACAGTCGAGAATAATAGCATGAAGAAAGCCAAAAATTACAAGTAAAGTAGGCCTGTGATGTTGACAATTGGATAAATCATCAAAGCAAGTTTCAGGGGCAATGGGCGATAGATTTTGACTACAAAATAAAAGAGGGAGTTTCTTATAATAAAAAATTTATTGTTAAAAGTTCATTTAGTAACTCAGTGTCAGAAAGATATACCAATGGCTAAAAAGGCTATCAGGGTCCGTATCATAAGAACGTGGTTCGTGGTTGTTTAACCCTTCCCGAACGGCAGAATTGGTATCATAAAAAGCAAGTTCGTGGTAAGCAAGAAGAAAAATACCAGACGCTCTTATGATACGAAAATACCTCAGTAGGGGTTAAATGACCTGGTTAAATGATCAAGTACTTATGATACCGTCTTAACAACTTGCTCTTAGGATACGGGCCCAGGGGCCAATAAAAATTAAAGAAAGCATCGTCAAACGATAGATATATCGTTCACGTTTATCGTTCGGATACGTCGATCGTTCCCTTAATTTTTATTGGCCTCAGTTCACTCTCTCAACCCCCAGACATACCTTAATGTTAGAAGTCCCGTAAATCGAAAAGAAACCCCAAAACGTAACCAAAATTAAATTAAAACGGGCGAGTTTAAAAGATTAAAAAACCTTCTCATTTTTTCATAATCTTTTCTGTACTGCATTAATCGTGAGCAAAGAATACTTGCCACTCGACGGGCTATAAATACATTTTGTACAACAATATCAGTAAATTGGGTCATTAATATAATTAAAATGCGAAATGTCTGAGGTTGATCTAAAGAAAAATTAGAAAATTCTGCAAGCAATTCACACATATCTAATACAAATTCATGACGATCTAGCATTCCATCCTAAATTTAAAAAAAATAAAACTTAACAAATAAAACAAAAAAAACCTCAAATGAATGTTTAATTAAAGCTGCATAATAAGGCCAACGTTGATAATAAGGATTCTGTTCAAGTTGGCCAGGTATTGCTTTGTCAAATTCACGAAGTAGGCAACGCAAATAACGAATAAAAAATTGACGTTGATCTAAAAATTGTTTTAAACTAGAAATTATTATTAAAAAATTAATAGATTTACCACTAGAATAATCATCACTAGGTAATGTATTTCCACCTTTCTTCTGTTTGCTAGCAGTTACCAAAATTGGATGAGCAACTTGATTCTTAAAAAATAAATTAAATTTTTAATTGAAATATATCAAATTAGTCTAGATTTTTTAATTTTAAATTTTCGCAGATAATAACCTTGATAACTTTTACAGGATCTAATAAAGCTAGAAAGGCTTTAGTGCAGATAATTCTGCTTCAGCAAGGGAGCTAGAGCAACAGATATTAAAAAAGCAAGAGATATTAGAGTTCGAGCTTTTGAATTCCCGACTTTTGTAAGATAGTTACATGTTATAACAAGGACCAAGAAAAACATGTTTCATCAGTAGGGTTGGGGTTTTCGAGTCGGGCTGACGTTCGAGTCATTTTTTTTCGGGCCGGCATGACCGAGCGTTTTCGGGCCAAAATTCAATGCCCGACTTGATCTTTCGGACAGGGCCGGATCGGGCCTCCAACCCTATTCATCAGACATACCAGGTTCAGATCTAAAAGGTTCTACTAATATCAGTTAAAACGCTTCAAATATATTTCACCAAAATACCTAAAAAAATTCTTACCATTTTCAAAAACCAAATAGCTTTTTGAATCGGCACTCCTTTTTCATATAATAAACTCATTGCCTCACATAAGGGAACCGTTTTTGCAGAAGCTAACGAATTTAATTGATCATAAGAAGTCCGTAAAAATCTTGGAAAACAGGCTGCTAATGAATGCCTTTTGATATCTTTTAATTGAATTCTTTTTCCAGAAACCAAAGATTCAAAGAATTCTTCTCGAAAACAATCAGAAATAAATCCACGAACATTATTTTCTTTTATCCAATTCTTGTCCAACCAAATAACATTGAGTTCATTCTTTTTATTCATTACTTGTTTAATCCACCGAGCGGCCCGATATAGTTGATCATCAGTCGCGAAAATTCGGCTCGTCTAGAATTTGAATAAAATAATCGTAAAATGAACGGATCTAGATTCTAAAATATAAAAACCCTCAGAAAATAGTAAAAAGTATAAATCGCGAGGATCGACAAAATTCTAAATAATTGATTCTAGTTCTGTGGATTCAAGCATGCTAATGTAAGAAATGTCAAATGGCGACCAAGAGTGTCCTAAAGAGTTTCTAGAGGGAGGCATGAAGAAATGTAAGCCAAACTTAACATTGGCGCAACCCTGCAGGCGTTGGCAAATCAGGATCCGAAAAAGTGCAGATAACCTTAAGTTTTGGGCCATATATCGGTTTCCCTACCCGCATATTTCCCAAGATTCACTACCCCTAATCTACAAGACCCCTGTCTGCCAGATGATTTAAATCACACAAACATAGAATACTCAATCGAATATATCAAATAAACAACAAACCTTCATAAGCGATTCATATTCATGCCTAACCAAAACACTATGAATAACTTCAATTTGATAGCCTTTAACAACCCGGTCTGGGCCCAAATTATCTTCTTCTTGCTTTTCTTGTTGAGGGAATACATCTGGATGCATAATAGCAACAACTCCACTACTTTTATCAGAACCACCACTTTGTCTAAATGAATCGCTTTTTCTGTTGTGCCTTTTGAGTGGCCGAGCATCGGGACTGAGTTGGTTGCGATTTTGTATTCGTTGGAAATATTGATGCATGGCGAAACTTTCGGGAAAAATTTAAGAAAAAAGTTGGAATAAAAATTTTTAAAAATAAATTTGAAAACGAACAATTTAAAAAAACTAAAAATTGAAATCTAAATTTTATTTAACTATTTTTACAAAAACTAAAATTACTATAAAACTTTCCCAAAATTTATCAGAAATCTGTGTCAAATTTGTTTTTTAGCCCTCAAAATCTCTTAAATTTAACAAAAAACGGATCCAACACCTCAAATACAATAAACTCAAAACAAAAAATACTTTTTGGAATATTTATTGAATTAGTGTAATTAATATACTTATTTTGTAAAATTTAGGAGATGTTGTGGTCTAAAAAACAAATCTTGAGAAGAGCACCATAAAAGTAAGAGATCGGCCTGGGTCTGGACCAAGACTTGAGTTTTTCCTGTACCTAGAGTCCAGGCCCGAGCATTTTTTGACCTTCCTGAGATTTTCCTGAGCCTGGGTTTTTCATGAATTACAGGCCCAAGATCCGGCCCAGGTCAATAAATCAAACCCAGGAAAGGACCCAGGCTTTTCAAAAATTCCAATCTCTAATAAAAGTAGAAAAGAAAATATTATGGAGAAAAGTTTTTGATTAATTTAAAAGTTAATTAAACATAAAATTAATTTTTCTCAGCATTAACATTCTTAAGCACATGACTAGCAATATAAGGGGCATCGGTGAGAAAAGGAATTTTAAGTTCACGAGACATCCAAGCCTAAATTTTGTTTTTTTATTAAAGCAAAAATTAAAGTTTAAAAACCATTTCATTACGTTCATTGACAGTCCAAGCACAGACCTTAAATCCACGAGCTGCCATGTTTTTCAAATAAAAACTAAAAATAAAGGTTAAATCAGATAAAATGAGAGAAATTATAAGGCCTACGGCGCAGGTCTAGCTTATGCGTCCAATCAAAAGAAAATTGAATTTTTCTTGGTGTTGCAAGGTTTTGGTTTTTTTCAAGTTTTTCCTATGGTTCCAAAACACTTTTTCTGTTCGGGACCTACGCTCACTTGGCCTTGGACCCACTGGGCGTAGGCTCACATCAGAAGCAAAATTAAGAAAATTTTTGAAAAAATTCCACTTTTCTTTTGATAAGACACATAAAAGTTCATTGGACGCATAAACTAGACCGGCGCCGTAGAATTACGTGGTAAACTAATCATGGGAATTTTTCGAAGGTTTTACCCATTACCCAACCAAAACAAATTAAAAAATTCAAATTCCAAAAGAAACCAGTTAAAAGACTTTTTAAGGAAAAAGTTAAAAAGTCAGCCAAACAATTAGAAAATAGAAACTAACGGTGAAATTTCTCGTCGTTCAGTAAGCACCATATCAACGCCGAGAAATTCCGGAATCCATAGTTTAACACACCAAATCCAAATAACATCCAAAATCATCGAAATAAAAAATATTAATTTAGAAGATGAACGAGGCACAGTAAATTCAATATCATCATAGGTAATGAACCTAAAATAGAGAAAGATGAAGTAAAAATCAGTGAAATGTCAATTTAATATACCAACGACGCCAAGTAATCCCTGAACATATTGCCAATTTTTAACATAAAATAAAAGGGATTTAAAAAATAAAAATACCCACCAGTTAGAATATTTGGATTTTCCTTTTTAATGCGATAGACGACAGTCGGGAAGAATGAACAGACAATTGCTTTGTTGTAAAGATTGTAGCGTTCAAAGAGGAGGGCAATAAGCTTCACTAACTGGAATTTTTTCGAAAATTAAAGAGGAAAATTAGAAATCCGATTTACAGAGAGGTACAGAAAATTGATACAAAATTTGGCATTAAATTTTCGTTAATAATTTCAAGCAGCAAGCCCGTAATCAGGATTTTTTCGAGATGGGGAAGGGTCAGAGGCGGCACTATTTTTTGCGCTGAGTCGCCTAAAATTTTAATTTTCAGCGTCGCAGGCGAAAATTTTGAGAATTTTAGAAGACCGTAGACAAAAAATTCACTTTTTTGCACAAACTTTTCCCCAAATTTTTTCCTTTCCCCTGGGGGGGGGGGGGAATTCCACCCCTACCCCCTGGCTACGGGCCTGTCAATTAGTGATTCCAGTAAGAAGTGTGGGTTAACACCCCTTTGAAAATATAAGGTATAAAATTAAACGAACCTTAATTTCTGTATCCTTTACATCGAAAAGCATCTTAACATTATTTTTAATTGACCATTCAATTAATTTCTCTAAAGTACAGATAGGCTCAAAATTGGAAGTAAAATCTTGGTTGCCCAAAGAACTAAAAAATTAGAAAAGATATTATGACTAATTTAGAAAGGGACTTTTGGGTTATCCAAAAACAGTTTTTGCAGCAAGTTATGCAGACACATTTATGTACGGAAAGGTCAAAGGTGAAACAGAGAAAATTGAGTGAAATTTGGAAAGAACATTTGAACTTTCCGTACATAAATGAGTCCGCACAATTTTTCCGGCATGGGATAACCCACAAGTACATTTACACGGAGAGGTTGCGAGGTGTCCGACCTAAAAACGGTCGAGACCGGGCTGATTCGAAGGAGAATGTGCCCTTTCTAGCAAGCAATTTTGAGCCGTTTTTGCCTGTTTATTGATCTGGCCAAGATATGGCCCTCCAAAATCCCTAAATTTGGCACCTCGCAACCTCTCCGTGTTAGAATATTAAACAAAAAAAATAAACAATTAAATTAAAAAAACCTAAACTTAGCAGCACAATTGCACTTTTCCAATTCAACAAAATTATATTTATTTAATGGCCCATTCATATTTGTGGTTCTATCGAGATCATCATCGTGCATTAAAACAGGGACAAAATCTTTGGTAAAGCCGATATCGAATTCAATTAAATCAACGCCTTCCTTTTTTGCCTGTTCGAAAGAAGCGAGAGTATTTTCTGGGGCATTTAAAGGGCTGCCTATGAAGAAATAAGAAAATAAATAATGTTTAAATAAAAAAACCTCTATGACCACCAAAACAAAATCCTTCAAAAAAAGTTGAGACCTAAAAAGAAATTTTTAAAAATATTAAAAAAATATTATTCGGTAATATTGAACCGGACAGACACCCTTTTTTCTTCCCCAATTTTTCCCCTATATTTTTGCAAAATTGCCATACTTTTTCCTTTCTTCCACCCAAATGGTCCTTCTAATTTTTGACTACAATCAAACGAAAGGGATTATTTTTGATATTTTATTTCCCCTTTTTCCTCCCCAATTTTTGAATAGAAGAAAGAAATTTGGATGGATAAAAGGAAATTTGGATGGAAAGGAAACAGTCTGAACATTTTGCAAAAATATAGAGGGAAAATTGGGTAGGAAAAAGAGTCCATCCGGTTCAATATTAACTATTTTTCTTACATTTTTTGGGTTTGCCCGTAAATTGCGAAAAAACATAAATGAGCCAAGCAAAATTGTTAAAATGTGTAGAAGTGTTTTCCAAACTAAAAGAAAAGAAAATTAAACGAATTAAGAAATTAAAATTAAAGCAAACCCAAACTAAGCGAAGAAAATGGCCATTGAAAATAATAAACACCAAATACAAAACAATATAAAAGAGTTGGAAGCAATTCTGGCATCTTCTATAACTTTTTTCTCCGGATTTATCCAAACAAACAATAAACGGATAAAAAATCCTAACTTCCAAATAATTCAAGATTTATTCAATTTGGGACACGCCCGACTAGTCGCGGGCCAACTAGTCGCGACCGATTAGTCGCGGCCGACTAGTCGCCGGCCGATTAGTCGCGCGGCCAACTAGTCGCCGGCCGATTAGTCGCCAAGCTTTTAAATTAAATATTCATATTTGTGACCGGCAAAATTATTTTTCCGGGCCCGGAAATCGGATTTTGAATTTGAAACTCATGCCGGACCAGATCCTGCCGGATTTTCAGGATCAATCCGGTCCGGTTTTATTCCGGTAAAAATAAATTTCGGAACAATTTTCAGAAAACAATAATAATTTATCATTTCAGCGCTGCGGGCGAAAATTTTTAAACTTATTGTTAGATGATCCTTGAGCTAAATTCCTCCTTCTTTCAACGCCGCAGGCAAAATTTTAGAATTTTTTGAAGGAACATAGGCCAAATTTCCTCTATTTCTGCTAAAAAGTCCATCCTTAGGGGTATATATTTGGCCTATTCCCTTGGCGAGATTCATGGCGAGGACACTTCCTTTATCCTTTCATCACATAACTGAAGCCGTTATGGGACATTAACATTTTAAAAAGATTAATCAGTTGTACATATTTACAAAATATTTAATTAAAAAGCTTGGCGACTAATCGGCCGGCGACTAGTTGGCCGCGCGACTAATCGGCCGGCGACTAGTCGGCCGCGACTAATCGGTCGCGACTAGTTGGCCCGCGACTAGTTGGGCTGTACCCATTCAATTTGACGCAAAAAGATTGGTACTCAATCGGTTCCTAATCAATTTTCGAGACTCAACTGCCCAAAACAACGCGCGGGCATAACAACGCAAAGCCATAACTTGCTGAAAAATTCCTGGCCCTTATCAATTTTTGTACCAATCTCTTCAGCTCGATGAGAGGAATCGTTTAATAATAAATTTGTTAAGATTCGTAAATTTTGAAGCAAGTTATGCCTTTGCGTTGTTATGGCCGCGCGTTGTTTTGGGGGGACACGCCCGACTAGTCGCGGGCCAACTAGTCGCGACCGATTAGTCGCGGCCGACTAGTCGCCGGCCAACTAGTCGCGCGGCCAACTAGTCGCCGGCCGATTAGTCGCCAAGCTTTTTAGTTAAATATTCTGATTAGTGACCGGCAAAATTATTTTTCCGGGCCCGGAAACCGGATTTTGGGTAAAATTTCGGTATACAACACAGATGCCGATTAAGTCGAATGATATGTCATTCGAAAGAGCTCTTCGAGCTGAGCCGAATGACACCAAAATCAACGATATCTGTCTTGATTTAACAAAGAAGGTTTTCGCGGAAAAAAGTTTTTGCCGCTGCGGAGGAAGCCGGGCATGTCGAGCGGAACGACGGCCGCCGCTTCGCTACGGTCGCCGCGAGCGAAGCGAGCACGACCGCAGCGAAGCACGGCCATCGTGTAGCGAAGACCATGCCCGGCCTACCCTCCGTAGCAGCACAAAAACAGTTTTTCCAGCGAGGATTCAGTTGGTCATAACTTTGTTCAGAATCATCCAATCGAGCTGATCTGATTAAAATACTATTAATCAGATAGTATTTGAAGGATATTTAATTAAAAAGCTTGGCGACTAATCGGCCGGCGACTAGTCGGCCGCGCGACTAATCGGCCGGCGACTAGTCGGTCGCGACTAATCGGTCGCGACTAGTCGGCCCGCGACTAGTTGGGCTGTACCCTGTTTTGGGTGTGCCTCACTCAGCTGATTCCAATGAATTTTTCAGCTGCTTTTTCCGGATGAAGGGGGTTTTACTAGATTCTTGATTTTTAGTAAAAATTATTAATCTTTAAAAATGAAATTGGAAAAGTGTTAAAGAGCTCCAATTTAAACAAGAAAACGAGCGGTCAATAAAAAAATTTTTATTTTAGACAATTTACAAAAATGATTTCAGATGTATCAACGGTATCTAATTAAATTATTTGTTAAAAATATAATAAATTTTAGTTTCAATCAATTACTTGCAAATTAGAATGGAAATTGTATGATTTAGATAAACACGAACAATTTATGCAAAATGGTCAATATTTAACGAGTTTGTTTAAATTTAGGGTACTACTCCGTTATCCCTACTTGTTTTTGCGAACTTTTTTTGCGGACAATTCATTCTTTTTGCAGTCTGTAAATAATGGTCAGACTACCTTCTTCCTTCGCTTGTCGCCATCAAACAAAGCAAAGTCCGCAAAAACGGGTAGGGATAACGGAGTAATACCAAATTTAGATTTTAATTCCAAATTTAGGCAAACAATTTTTCAATCCAAAATGTCCTTCTGTTAAATGGGAATTGCATGTTTACCCAAATACTTATCAGAATAATTCTGGTAGTTTTTAACACTTTTATTTTTAATAGTGACTGGTAAACTCGATTTTTCCTGACCCGGATTCCGGATTTGCATCTAGAGCCGGACCGGATCCGGCCGGATTTCTCCGGAAAAATCCGGTCCGGCTCAGGTCACTTATTTTTGAATTTCAGTCAACTTTTCAGGCATTTTTGTTTCGCTTGTACAAGTAGGTTACGTATATACCCCGCCTCATACGACTCCATGTACTGTTAAAACTAAATTTAAATTATTTATAGAAGCACTTTTTCTGTTTTTCAATACAAAACAGAAACAAATAAATATCAAGTTTTCAAATCACAAAAGACGGACAAGTCTAACGACATTTTAGAGGAAGGAATAGATTACATTTTGGTGAATGACTCGACAGAGGCCTTAAATTTAGGTTATTTTTAAGGTAATTCTTTCGATTACGCCCCCTTTTTGTTTCCCTGACCATTTTGAGCTTTTTTGCTTGAAAATAAAACATAAAAAAGGGAGGGGGGCGTCATCCGAAGAATTACCATTTTTTAATTTCCGTGGGTGCGGAACAATGTGTATTTATTAGTGATATTCAGGAGAAGAAAAACCCGGGAAACGGGAGTCGGGTCGGGAAATGATTTCAGGAGTCGAGATCGGGATACCCAAACATCACTAGTATTTATACAACTAATACTAAACTTGATAAGATATGCGGACACATTTTGTGTCTGTTAAAATGATCTAGATTGATATGTGATATAATAAATTTATAGATCCATTTGTGCAAAATAATTCACACATTAAATCTTTTTTGCATTAAAGGCCTTGAAAATTTTTTTTATTAATTTTTATTTAATTTCTAGATTTTTTGCTGATTTTTTGTGAAATTGAATTTGTTCCTTATGATATAAAATGCGAGAATGATGTCGTGAATTATTCATCTGGAGTTACTTCACAACTCTCTTTAAAAATGTTTAAAGAGGGAATACTTACTGATTGTGTTATCGAGGTTATTTTTAATTGTATGATAAAAAGTAAGGGGTTTTGGCAGGCCCGTAATCAGGATTTTTTCGGGAGGGGGAGGGCCGTTTTTTGCGCTGAGTTGAAGGCCGTAGGCCTTTCACTTTTTATCCCCATTCCCTCCCCAAATTTTTTCCATTTTTCCCATTTCAGGAGGGGGGGGGGGGTGGAATTCCCTCCCTACCCCTTGGTTATGGGCTGGTTTTTGACATTGTTTGTTATCTTGGTTCAATCTCCCCCCTATCTAGTCACTATTTACCAAGTCCCAACTCCTTTTATTTAACCCAATTTTTATATTTGACAAAACTGAAAATTAATTTCTAAAAATCAGCAAAAATATCCTAATAAATATTTTAGATTGGAAACGAATTAATAAATACACACCGTTTTATTTTGGCTAAAAATAGTGTTGTATTTCAAAAAATGTTTGAACAAATGGGAATGACTGAAGCACAAAATGTAATTTTATTTAAGAATGTTTTCTCCTTTGATTTTTAAATTCTGGAGAATTTTTAAATTAAAAATTGGGCATATTTGGGATCATTTTAAAAACCGGAAGAAAAGTTCACTGAAATATTTTTCTTTCTTAAAGTTTTCTCCTTTATTTTTAAATATTATTTTAAAAATAAAGGATTCAGGTCCGGGGTTTGAAATAAGCAAATTCTAAGCTCAGATCCGGACTCAGCACACTAGATTACTCCCAAAAATGTAACTAGCACTTTTTCCTCATTTTTTTCTAGGGACCAGTAATCTTTACATTTACCAAGTTTTTTTGTATTTATGTATTTTTGTAAAATTTTAAGGGCAAAATAAAAATTGTTGATTCTTCTCCAGAATGTTTTAAAGCAATGCTGGAATATTTTTATAGTGGAGAAATTGATAAAAGTATTTTTTAAAAATAATTTTTTAAAAATTAAATTTTTAAAGAAACAATTGAAAAATATTCGGAAGATTTATTTTCTATTGCACATAAATACGAAGTAAAACAATTAATGGAAATTTGTGAAAATTATATGGCTGCAAATATTGGTAGAAAAATAATTTAAGAATTAAAAAAATTTTTTTTAATTTTAGTTGCTGAAAACTTTGGAAAACTCTGTCTTTTTGCTGAATTTTATCATCTTTCTAAACTTGCAAAGGTAGATTATTTAATTTTTTTTAACTTGCGGATAATTTTAAATTTGCGGAATTTGTGAAAAATTTGGTTGGACTGTTGTCCTTCGATCAAGGGCTTTTTCCAAACCGCGGTCCATGTAGTCCGGGCGGCCATCCAACCAGCCATCTGCTCGTGTTTATTAGTTGTTTATTAGCAACCAATTTTCTCTTTCCCTTGCTCTTAATTTTCTCCTTCGCTAAATATAGTTAGTTTCGACTTTGTGGATTTCTTATTACTTTAAAATATATCTGCAAGGAACATTTAGTAGAAAAATTTTATTTAAAAAAAATCATGAAAATTTTGGTGGATATAAACATTTTAAATATTCCAAAAAATTCTACAGGCATGTATTCACTTCCTTTCTGCTAATAAACAAAGCTTCCTTGTCAGTAAAGAATGGAAAGAATTTAAATCTCTTAATAAAGATTTTGCTTTTCGTTTACTCGAGGCATCAGCTTTAATCGACGAAGAAAGACAAATTGAAAAGAAACAAGTTGTTAATAATTATGTTTGCTCGAATTGTGAACAACTTTCACCTCGTTTTACACCTTAATCGCCTCGTTTTCATGCTTGTTCACCTTCATATATAGACCTACATGAAAGTAGGTACTTCTAATATGCTCCTCTCTATTGCTAACAAATAAGCTCTTGTTTATCTTTCAATTTTAACTTCAAATAATTTTTCTATAAATATTTTTCTTAGTGACTAAATGAAAGAAATGAGTTAATATGTAACACTTGTAGTCCAGCATTTTAAAACGATAGTAGACAATATACAATTATGTAACTAATTATGCGTTAACACAATTTATAAATGTGATAAAGCATATTTTTCCTGTAGCAAATGCATATGAATAGTATGTATACTTTCTACCTTTATAGTCGTTGCATAATGGATTATTATCTTCTTTATATTTATCAACAAATTTTATTTTTTTTAATTTGATAAGAAAATAACCTATTAACATACTAGTAACCCTATTAACGAAAAGAAAGCTCAAATCATCTCATAATCATGTGTCAAGTTCTTTTCTCATAATAGTGAAAACTTTCTTGCCCGCAAAGAATGGATTGGATTTTAATTTAATTATAGTTATGTACATGTTTGCGGGAATTTTTATTAGTGAAAAATAAATTGTTTGGAAACAAGTTGAAAAGAAACTTATTTGAACAAACAGCTAGGTTTTTATGTTCCTGCGTTTGAATAGTGCTATACTTCTACCTTTATAGTTGATCAACCTTCTCTCGAAAAATGTCCACTAGCCCCCGCTTCTGCTGAAAATAAACGAATCATTTTATTATTTCTTTTCCTCGGATTTCATTTGCACTTAAATTTTGTGAAAATTAAACCAAGAAACATATGGAAAACTTATAAAACCAAATAGTTTTAAATATATACTGTTTAAATCCATTAAAAGATTCATAATTTTTAACTTTTTGATTAAAATAAATGAAATTTTAAAAAAAAAGATGTAACATTACTGAGAGATTTATAAAATCAAATTATAGAAATGCTCTTTCCGCCTTTAACGGGATCTTTATTTTTTTTCAGGCATGTGTTAATTTCCTTTCTGTCAACAAAGTCTTTCTTATCAGCAAACAATGGGAAGAATTTAAATCTCTTAATAAAGATTTGGCTATTCGTTTAATGGAAAAAAATATTTTGGATAAAAAAGGTAAAAGCATAATATAGATTTTTATTAAGAATTCCTATTAATTGATAGTCACTATTTTCATGATTCCGTAATCTTCTGATTAGAACTAATTTTTTTAAGTTTTAAAACAGTCAAAGATTTTGGACCATGAGTATTAATTACTTGTTAGAATTTTTTAATGTTTTGTCTTTGGTCCACTGTCACAACTTTGACTTTTCAGTGTGTCCAACGTATTAGGACTATACGAATGACTTGTGATTCATGTATAAATTTACCATAACCAGTATTGGAGAAATTTTGGTAATGGACAGCTCTGAAAATGTTCATGAATAAAAATTCCCATTTTGCATTAGAGACTCAGTAGTCGAGTTTTAATCCGTGGAAACACTTGGATACGTGTCAGTGGTCCAAAGATTTTTTTTTCAATTTCTAGCAAGTCTTGAATTCTAGCAAGTCTTGAATCCACTATAGATAACTTTGCAATATCTTAATTAGTGGCCTCATTTCTTTTAATTTTTAACTAAACATTTTCCAAAAGAATTATTTAAGGCAAGTAAATTTCAGATTCTTCATGCAAGGAGAAAGAAAGTTTTACAGTTGGGAGCATGAATGAAGACCAGGTAAAAAAATAAGCGGATTTTTATTTTCTGAAAGGAATCCCAAACAAGCTAATCCCCCTTACAGCATCGGAGGTACACTATAACGAAAATTAACTGCAAATATAAGCAGTACTTTTCCGTCTCTAGCCTCGAGGACCGTGAAAACACTGGGCATCTTTACGAAAAATCAAAAAAACAAATTACTCATTTTCTATTAAAATTTCAATTTTTAAAGTTAAAAACGTTGGAACAAGCTTTTCAAACAATTTGTTACCCCGGCGTTTGTATGAGAGCCGAAATTGCTAAGAACATTGGACTGTCACAAAGAGTAGTTGAAGTATGGTTTCAAAATAGAAGACATAAGGAAAGAGAAAGACTTCCTAAATTACAATACTGCTGAAGGACATTAAAAATATTATTTTAAAATTCCATTTCGATTTAATCTCCTTAAATTTACACGAACTCATCTTTTGAAAGTTTTGTTGGACAGATCTAGAAAAGTGTTGTTTTAATCATTTTATTCTCATTTATTTTTGCAATATACAATTTATTTAATTATGTTTTTAATAAAATATTTGGTTCAACTTTTCATTACAGATACCGCATAACCTGTATTAATTGCCGCCCCTCAAATAATTCAATTTTGATTTTAGTAATATTCAGACTAATATTCACCGGATATAACGCGGATATCCGGATATTATCCGTATCCATTACCAAGCCTGCTAGCTGTATATACAATTTCCTTAATTTATTGATTTATGTTTCTAATAAATATTTGAGTATGGTCGAGTATCCGTCATCGTGTTCAAGAATCAAAATATAAAAAATATTAAATGAAAAATATCTAGGATTTTAAAATTTATTGTGGATTTACTTGTGAACGATTAAAAATAGCATTTCGATATGGGGTGTTTGTTAAAATACAAATAATTGGGTTAAATACAGGTATTAAATGAAAATTAATTAAAATAAATATTCGAATAATATTTGTTATATTGTTCGTTTCTGAAAAAGTCATAATAAATATAACTCCAGCTTGGTTAACAAATGGCACAATAGCCTAAAAGGTTGTATTAAGGAAAATTAGAGAGGTTTTAAATCCTACCAAAATAATCAAAACTTTAGTTAAAAGTTTATTTAATCTTTTTAAATTTCCATCAAGATTAGTGTTTAAATTGACATATCTAACCATTTTGAATCCACAAACAAATATTATTAAATATGCAGATATTTCAATTAAAACTGTAGGTAATTTTGACCAAACATTTACCTTTTTTGTTTTAAATTTAAAAAATGAATTTAATTTAAAATTAACCGTTTCCATTTTATATTGAATAAACGGCCAACTTTTGTTGAAATTATCAAAATATTTAATTCCTCCATATGAAAATGGGATAATAAAGAAGTACATATCCAACATATAAAATAATGTTACAAATAAAGATATGGACACCATAAATAGATAACGACGAAAATTAATTTTCTTATTCCTTAATATATTCATTTTAGGAGTACGGTTGTCGGATAGTTGGAAATCTTCGGATATCCGGATCCGGTATCCGAACCGAAAATTTCGGATATCCGGATCCGGATCCGATATCCGAACCGAAATTTTCGGATATCCGGATCCGGAACCGAAATTTTTATTTTCAAAATTTTTGCCTGCGGCGCTGTAGTTGAGTCCCTATGGATGATATAGAGGGATTAAGATCAATTATAAATGGATTTGGGGAATTAACAGAGGTATTAAGAAAATTTAGGACTATGTAACAGAGTTATCGATGTGAGTAATGAGTTATTTGGGGAATTAATAGAGACATCGGGTATTTTCTTACATTTAAGATTGGTGGATTAAGGGCTGGGGGTTGGGAATTACGAGAGACATTGAGGGATTTATTGCTTAATCCCCTATATCCCCTCTAATCCCAATATCCTTCAAGGGCGTATCCAGGGGGTTAGCTTCGGGGGGAGGGGGGCATTTGAGTTTTTACAACTGTTTACAACTCTTTCTCTTTTAGCGCCGCAGGCGAAAATTTTGGGAATTTTGGAGGTCCTTAAGCTAGATTTCTTCATTTCCTGCGCCGCAGGCGAACATTTTGAGAATTTTAGAAGGCCGTAGGCCAAAAAAATCACTTTTTCACCGCTGCAGGCGAAAATTTTGATAATTTTGGAGGTCCTTAAGCCATTCTTCCATTTTCAGCGCCGCAGGCGAAAATTTTGAGAATTTTTGAAGACCAAGAAGCCAGATTTCTCCCATTATCAGCATATTTCTCCCATTATCAGCGCCGCAGGCGAAAATTTTGGGAATTTTGGAAGACCAATGGGCAAGATTTCACGCTTTTTTCGTAATTCTAGGATCCGAACCGAAATTTTCGGATGTCCGGATCCGGATCCGACAACCTTATTTAGGAGAGATTATTTTTAGTCATTTACCTATTCAAAACTAAATATCTATAAATAAATTGAACACACAATCCATGTGTATTTAAGACACCAATATATATCCAAAGTGTTATAACAATATGACATATAAATGGATCAAAATTTTCTTTCATTAAACTAATCAAAATTCCATTAGGTATAATATGAATTGTATTACCCTCAGTATCGAGTATATAATACTATAAATAAATATAAAAATGGGCATTAAATAGGGTTACGCGATATCACAATTCAAGAATAGTAAACAAATCCTGATACCGAATCTAATTCAGAATTGAACAAGATGGGGTAATTCCAAGGCTGGCCCCCTTTTTTCTTAAGAATGTACATAATGGTCAATT